CCCCCCCGGGTTCCCGGCGTCCTAACTTTAGCCGGGATATGCAGTCAGTCGGGTTAGGGTCAGTCCCGGGGTGATACGTAATTGGCGCTTGGCGGAAGCGACCGCAGTTAGACGGCCTTGCGGGCCACTTTTTGCGTCATCGAGGCTCCCGATCGCGTCGGTGTTTTCTTTTTTCTTTTTTCTTTTTTTCGCTAAGGAGATCGTTGTGGAGCTTTGTAGAGGGACGGAGGAGGAGGAAGGATGAAAACGCAGTTCAGGACCGTAACGAAAGCGGCCCTGGGAGCGGGCCCACGCGTATGCGGTTATATACTTAGGTGTCACTGGGGCGGGAACTGCGGGTGCAAATATGGGCACCGCAGCAGCAAGGTTTGGTGGGCTCTCTCCTTGGTTCGGATTCGGAAAGGCGGGCTGCGCGCGGTCGCAGCGCTTCTTTCCCTTGCGTGAAAAACTTCCCGCGCAGTCGGATGTATGGTATGTACTGCATGGGCGTTGGCACGAGAGGGGTTCGGTTTCGATATCGAAACGTCGGCGATAGGCTGCGGCACTGCCGTTGATGCCATAAGAAGATCGGACCGTTGGGCGTTTCCTCGGACCGGGACACAGGGGGGGGGGAGGACGGAGCGGAAACCGTACCTGTGCAGCGCAGGGCGCGTCAAACATGAAGGTGGTGGTGGTATCCGCTCTGACACCCGGGGGGCGCTTCGATATCAGGTGTCTGGGAGGATACCGCAGTTTCAGGGATCCTCCCCGACGCCACTAGTACTTACTGCGCCGTCCGGGCCGCCTGCCATGCGCGATCGGTCTCAATATCCACAGAGCCGCTCTGCGGTCGTGAAAGCTCTTATGGATGGATGGCTGTCGTGCTGATGCTGAAGCAGGGAATATGGCACTCGGAGACCGGGACGGACGCTGCGAGCGGGGCGCAGCAGTTTTTAGCGCGCCCTTTGCTGCGCCAGAAACTGAGCGCACGTGATGCGATGGCAGCCAGGCTCATCTCGATTGGGCACTGGCAGGCGCACGCAAGGGGAGGGATCTTTGCGCAGCAGGTCCTGAACGCGCACGGGCTCTGCCCGCAGTCGCTCTCTCCGCTGCAACCCTTGCTCCCCCTCCGTCCCTCTTCTCTCGCAACTCATCCCAAGAGCGCACCGAGAACCCCACCCGTTCCTCTCCCGATGGCCGACCCGCTGTCGCCAGCGCTATCACCTCTACCACCACCACCACCACCACCACCGCGGCCCTCGCGCAAGGGCAAGGAGCGCGAGACCGACTCCGCACCCGCACCCACCGACCTCGCCGCCAGGATGATCGCCTTCCAGAGACGCAACGCTACGTGAGTCGTCTCGCCCTCCATGCGGAGCGCATGTGTGCGATCGCAGACCGCTGACCGGGTGTGTCGGGCGATGAACCCACAGTGCAACGAAGCCGCGGGACAGGTCCGAGCGGCCCGCCCCGCCCCCGAAGGACGTCCCCGAGCGCGCCCAAGCGCCGCCCCCGCAGACGAGCACGATCGGCGCCCGATCGCCCGTGCTCTCCGTCCAGCAGCAGCCGCAGCCGCGCCGCCACCCGTCCAGCCCGCACCTCGCCGCGCTCTCCTCCTCCGACGCCGACGACTTCTCGAGGCGGCTCAAGATCGGCGCCACCTCCGCCGCCGCCGTCGACCCGTACGCGCTCTCCTCGCGCAAGCACCCCCACCCCGACTCGGCGCGCAAGCTCTACAACCCGCACGCGGACCCGCCGATCCCGACGCGGCACACCGCCGAGCCCGAGGCCATCTCGGACGGCACCTCGAGCTCGTACGCCCCGCGCCACCCCCCGCACCCGCAACACCCGCGCTCGCCCAAACAGCCGGACCTCGGGCGCCCCAGCGCGCCCCGCCCGCTCTTCGACCCGCGCAAGGACGACCCCGTCCGGTTCGCCGTGCTCGCGCGCCCGGGCGGCAAGCCACCCGCCCCGACGCCCAAATCGTCCGGCGACTGGCTCTCCGCCTCCTCCACCTCGTCCTACACGCCCTCCCTCGCCTCCTCCTCCTTCACCCTCTCCTCCGGCACCACCGCCTCCTCCTCCGCCAACTCGGCCCTCTTCGACTCGTCCGCGGGAGGAGGTGGAGGAGGTGGGGGAGGGTCCCGCCCGCCGCGCACGGACGAGAGCGGCGGGAGCAGCACGACGAACGCGTTCTCGGCGCAGCTGAAGCGGCTGTATAGGGAGATCACCGCGCTCGAGGCGCAGGTCAGGGCCGACGACGCGGCGGAGGTGGACGTGGCGCGCGTGATCGTGAAGAAGGACCCCCAGGCCGAGGCCGAAAAGTGGAAGAAGGCGTCCGCCGCCCACAAGCGGTAAGCGATCCCTTCACCCCCCTTCTTCTTCGTCGTTTTTTTTATATTTCGCGATTTCCCACGCGCTTGCGTTTTGTGGGCACGCGATGGGCCTGTTCCCGGACAGAGCACGAACGATACTGATCACCTTTTTTTTCTTCTCCCCCTTTCTCGGAATAGGCTTGCGGACATGATGCACAATCTGCTCGAAGTGTCGCTCGACCCGAGCGTGCCCGCCTCGCTCCGCAATATACCCGTCAAATACAACATCATCAACCGGCTGTGGTCGATCGCCTTCCACAAGCACCTCGAGAACCTCCGCCGGGCCGCGTTCACGCAGCCGACGGACCCGGTCGCGTTCGAGCTCCTGCAAGAGTTCATCTACTACGCGTACACGTTCTACACCTACCTCGTCGAGGAGCGCACGCTCGAAACGTTCAAGTCCAACTGGCTCGAGTGCCTCGGCGACCTCGCGCGGTACCGGATGGCGGTCGCCGCGATGGCGGGCGCCGTCGCGCTCCCGACGGGCGGCGGCGCGACGCTCGCGGCGATACACCGCGCCGCGGCCGATCTGGCGTCGCCCGCGCCGTCGACGATCAAGTCGCCGATCCCGAGCGTGTCGCAGCAGAAGGAGGTCGGGCGCAGCGCGGCGGCGGCGGCGGAGAAGGAGGAGGGAAGCCTGCGGTCGGCCCAGCCGGCGGCGCGGATCGACGACAGCCCGGTGCCGAGCATCGGGCTCGCGGCGGCTCGGGCGATGGAGCTCGAGCCGGAGAAGGAGCGGTGGAGGACGATCGCGAGGGAGTGGTTTAGCAAGGGCGTGGCGGCCACGCCTGGGGCGGGCAAGCTGCACCATCATCTGGGACTCTTGAGCAGGGACACGGAGGGCGAGGAGCTGAGGGCCGTTTATCACTTCGTCAAGAGGTTCGCCGTCGTCTTTTCTTCGTCTTCTGTTCGTGATCGGTCGCTGATGGTATCCTTTTTTTTTCCTTTTAACCTAACAGCATGATCGCTTTGCACCCATTCCCGACCTCGCGCGAGTCGGTGCTGCCCGTGTGGAGCGTGGCGAACCAGACGCGGCGACAGGCGCCGGACGCGCGCGTGCCGGAGCTGTTCGTGCTCCTGCACGGGATGCTGTTCACGAACGTGCAGCTGGACGACTTTGGGCCGACGCTCGCGCGGTTCATGGAGCGGCTCGAGGTCGACGGCGCGGAGGAGCGGGAGTGGATCATGATGGCGGTCGTGAACGTCGGCGCGGTGCTCGAGTACGGCAAGCCGCAGGGCCTGGTCCGGCGCGCGGTCGCGAACGCGAGCGGCAGCGCGGGCACGGTCGTGCTCGGCGGCGGCGGCGTGAACGGGCTCGCGCCGAGCGTGGCCAGGATGCGGATCGCGCCGAGGAAGGAGGACGAGATGGACGTGGACGGCGAGGCGGCGCCGGTGCGGGTGCAGTCGAGCCCGACGATGGAGGAGGCGGCGGCGGACGAGGAGGAGCGGGAGGAGCTCCCGCTCGCGTTGAGGCTCGCGCTCCAGCTCACGTTCGGCATGTTCGCGTACGTGCTCGGGCGGCCGACGCGGAAGCCGTCGCCGTACGCGCGGAGCACGCTGAACCCGTACCTGACGGTGCTGCTCACGTTCCTCGCGACGGTCGCGCGCGACGCGGCGGCGCTGGCGATCTTCGAGCGGGGCGTGCCGTGGGAGGCGCTCGCGGCGTTCTTGGGCACGGCCCCCCGCGGCGTCTTCGCGGACGGCAAGGTCGAGGGCGCGGCGATGCTGAGCAGCGGGGCGAGCCCGCTCGACGAAGATTGGAGCCTGCGCGGGATGGAGTGGGTCGGCCGGCGGCTGTACGAGCGCGGGTTTTGGAAGGGAGGGGAGGAGCGGCATATGGAGCTCGAGGTGCTGGAGAAGAGCGAGGCGGGCGTCGAGGCCGTTACGGACGGGATCATCGAGGACGACGAGGAGGGCGAGGGCGGCGCGAGGGAGAGAGGCGCGAGCGCTGGGCGGTGGGTTCGTGTGGCCAGGGCCGGCGCGGCGCTGAGCAAAGTCGTGGACGGGTTCGTGTGGGCGCCGGGAACGAGGGAGTGGCGGGTGGAGACGCCGTTGACGGAGAAGATTGGAAGGTGGAAGGAAGAGGAGAGGAGAGAGAGAGAGGAGGAGGAGAGGAGGAGGCGCGGGACGCGCTGGGGCGACGATTCGATGGAAGTGGACGAGGATGGGCAGGTGGACGATGACGAGGACGAGGAGGATGAGAACGACAGCGACGAGGTGAAGGCGCTCAAGGTATGCTTTTCTGTGGTTGATGTTGTGGAAAGCATGGCGCTGACGACGTTTTATCTGTAGGCTCGTCGACGATACCTGCAGAGTTTATTGCAGGAGGGCCGACGGGAGCCGACAATGTCGCGGTCGTCGACGCGGAGCAGCCTCAAAAACGCTACCGCCACCGGGCCATCGCTCAAGATCGTTGCCGGGTATACTGCGCTCGTCATCGACACCAACATCCTATTGTCCTCGTTATCGATGTTCGCATCGCTCGTCGAGAGCCTCATGTGGACGGTCGTGGTGCCGCTCCCGGTCGTCATGGAGCTGGAGGGTCTTTCGTCGAATCAGTCCAAGCTCGGCGAAGCCGCATCCGCCGCGATGGCATACATCACTTCGCACATACGCACGCACGCCCTCTCGCTCAAGATCCAGACGTCGAAGGGCAATTATCTCCCGAATATCAACGTACGGACAGAGGAGGTCGACTTCACTGACGAGGCGTCATGGGAGCGCAGCATGGATGATCTCATCCTCCGCGCCGCGGTGTGGCAGGACGAGCACTGGGTGGACCGCTCCGACCTGCTCAAGGTCCACGGGACGCCGGACAAAACGGGCGCCGCAAAGGTCGTACTGCTGAGCTTCGACCGAAATTGTGAGTTGTCCATCGTCCCCTGTCGCGTTCGTAACGGGCCCTCGCTGATCGAGCTATATGTCTTACAGTGCGTTTGAAGGCTCGATCGCGCCAGCTGGCCGCAGCGAACGAAAGGGACCTCGCGGCCGTGCTCGCGTCCGCGACGTAATGCGGCACCGACGCGGCTTACATGCGCATATCTCTCCTCGTTTCGTTCATTCTTGGACTCTACATGGTTGATGCTCTGTCGTGCTCGACGCCGACCTCTCCGTTCCTTGTTCCTGCGCTTCTCGTCTCTGCTAGACCCATCACATTCTGCACCCTCGTTACACCTCTTAACTACCAGGAATAGCATCGAATCTTGTTGCGTGGTCAAGTGTATCTGTATTTGTTGACATAAATATTATGTATTTATTGGATGACATCTCAAGGTATTCCAGAGTCTGAATTCCGGCCTGGGATACGCTGAATGCGACCTATGATTCATCTACAATGCGAACTTCTCGGTCCGGCGCCTAGTGGAAGTAAGGCGCAGCAACCGCCTTCACCGTTCCCCAGGCTTCGTCCAGCGCCTTGACGACGTCTTCAGCTATTGGGAAACAAGTTAGCACCACACCAATATATACCGGCTTTGCAGCAAACACTCACGAAGCGGGCCCTTCTCCAGATCGACTAGGTTCTGACCACACGCCAATAATGTTAGTCAGCAAGGCATGGAGGCTCAAGCAGGATACGCACCTGCTCGATGTATTTGAGGCTGGACGCGCCAATGATGACGGAGTCGCCGTACTCGCGCTTCAAGACACTGTGGTGGGATATCCATCTGAGCGCTGGAAGTGCCGCACATCAACAGGTCGTTGCATCCATCGCCGCCGAGTAGCGCGTGGACTCACCGACTTCGGCCATGGTGAGTCCGTGCTTATCCGAGGCCTCCTTGATGATGCCGACCGCCTTGAAGTACGAGTCCTTCCAGTACCGCATGCGGTACATCTGGGTGGGGGAAATTGTTTCAGTATAACCGCAAGAGGGTCAGCGTCAAGGCGCTGACCTTTCCTTGCATCTTCTCATCATCGAACCGGGAGCCAGGATCGACCTTGTCTTCCGGGCTGAGGTACCGTCCGGTGAAGAAGCCGCCGCCGACTGGGTTTCAGCAACGGATGTCAACGATCTGGATAAAGAACGCTCTGGGGTTGCAAGCAACTAACGGGCGTTAAAAGCGTAGAAACTGATGCCGTATTTGCGTAAACAGGGGATGAGTTCTGGCTCGATGTTCCTGATTTGGGTGTCTGATTCATTGACCTCTTCGATCTGGGCAAGAATGTCGCTTACCGTTGAACGGCGTTATAGATACCCTGGTAGACAGTCGGCAGGACATAACCATTCGCCTTGCAAATCTCGCACATCTGCGCGACCTCCCAGCTGTGCGACGTATAAATCTATTAGAAGCGGTCCGAGAAAAGAATGGTGTCGACTGGACGTACGACATGTAATTGCTGATACCGAAGCGCTTGAACTTGCCCTCCTTGTAGAGGTCGTTGACGGCCTTCAGCGTGTCCTCGTAAGGAGTGCTACGATCGGGGCCGTGCAGATACCACATCTCCAAGCAGCTATTTGGCGTTCGCGAGTTGAAGTTAGCGCACAGTCGGTAGGAACGGATGTTGATAACGTACTCGGTGCCAACCTCCTTCAGCGATTGGTCCAAGTATTTGCGCAGATCTTCCGGACGATGGGTGATTACCAAGTCGCCGAACACTGCAAACGATCAGATTAAATTTGGACTAAAGGGATAAGAGGCAATGAGGGATAATCTCACTCTCAGTCCTGACCGCCTCCGGCAGGCCTGCGTTGGGGTAGAGCTTCGTCTCAACCTTGAGTCCCTTCTTCGCAAGATCAATCTTCGCGACGTGCCCTTCGGACGTTCCTTCGGCATATACACGGGCGTTGTCAAGCTGCACGAGTGAGGTTCGGTCATGGCTTGCTGAGAGGAAACGCGTCGAGACACACCTCGGTGTGTCCATGAGCGGCGAACACATCCAAGATCGCCTCGATATCTGGTAATGGTGATGTGCATTCGTCAGACACGTATGTTCTGGATGCCTCCCAAGATGACATGCCATCAGCGACTCACCCTGTAGGTCTGAGACTCGAACTCCCCCCTTGCCCTCCTCGCCGAACGTCATACACCCCTATATCGCAACGCCCCCTCAGACGGCGTTTACGCGACGGCACAAGCATCCACACTCACCATCACTATGTTGAGAGCGCTTTTCTGCGTGCTTGTGGAGGCCATAGTTGCAATATCGTCTTCAGTCCCTTCTGTTGTTCCGGCGCATGCACTTCGGGGTATATATGCCCTTTACCATCAAAGTGGGTCGTAGCCCATGTCTGAATAATGCAGCCCTGCGAACAGTCCACTCGATCCACTTCGAAGCGACGACCACGGTCCTTATCGACGACTGTTCACTGCTTGCCGCAGCGTGCGCGGCATCATGGCAAACGCTGGCCCGCACGAACATTACGACACAGTTCGGGCAAATGATCGCGAGGTAGTCGTTGTGCATTCGTGCACCTCATGACGAGTAGAATGTTATTTGCCGAACCAGAGCGTAGTTGTGTGAGATATTACTGCTGGATATGCCCGGAAAACGTCTCCCGTGTTTGCTTGCGCTTGGTCGCCGCATGGACGACGGAGAAGAGATGTGAATCGAAGTCGCACCTCCCCAGTTCTCTGCGAACAGACTTATGCAGATGCTATTTGTCCTTCATCGCTGCCAGGCTCAATTCCGATTGATCATCGACTGATCGTGCATCATGGATGGGAACCTAACAAGACCACTTCGCTCTGTCTGCTTGTGATAGATATCCCTCCAGCAAGTTGGGGTCGTCAGCTACGTCAGGGCTTGACAAACGCAACAAATCAAACTTCATCAGGCTTTCACAACTATGCAAGGAGGTTTCGAGTCCTCGGCGAATCTGCAAACGCGCATAGACGGGCTCGATGAGGTGAGCACGCATGCGACAAGCTACGCGTATCACGACCTCCTTGTTTACTCGACATCCTTCAGAAACTCGACATGCTGTCTCGGACTGATCGAGTATGTCAGGCCACCTTGCGCGAGCTGAACCGCTTGTGCGGCGAAACTGGGCTCCTGCCTACATCATACCGGCTATCGGGCTTGGTGAAGTCAGCCGACGAAGAATCTGACTCCTCCGGAGGCTTCTCGGACGTCTGGAGAGGAGCGCACAATGGATCGCTCGTCGCTCTGAAGGTCATCGGGCTTGCATGCCGGCGATCGCAATTACAAACAGGTTTGTCCTTGACCGTTCGTCCGACGCGTCATGCTGCCTTGCAATGAGAACTGACTCGGAGTTCTGTTTTTTTTTTTGCAAGGAAGCCGTGATCTGGAAACGACTTCTGCATCAGAACATTGTCCCTTTCCTCGGCGTGTCCAGGTCTTCGACGACAGGATGCCATTCTACGAGATACGAGTCGATTACACTGTGGTGTTGAAGGTTGGGCGCGCGTCCTTCCCGTCCACTGCACGCTGTTGGGCTAGGATTGAGTGACTCCATCTGGGCCCTTATCGAGGACTGCTGGGACCTCGAACCATTCGTGCTACCGCCGGCAACAGAGATTCTTGAACGACTCGCAGCTCCAAAACTCGGGGGGCTTATACTGCCCGTGTTATCAACAGGTTCGTCGTGGCTGTGTTCGTCCAACCATCTACTATGTAGTACTCATTGAGATGCCTATAGATGTAGATGAAGAGGACCTGGGTCATACCGATCAAGCCGAACAACTGGCGGCGTTGACCGGTGCGTGATGACGACATTTGTTAATCTATCTCTTGTGTACTCAAGACAATACCCAAGCGAAGAGTCGGGTCCAACCGGTGGACCCTCGCACTTGGACGCGATGGTGTATGACAGCATAGCTCTCAACACCAACTTCAGAAGAACCTCCCACAAACCTCAAGCGGTAGGCGAAGCTGGATATACCGCGAAGAAGACCTAGTGGCCGAAGCAGACCTCTGATTACTCGCGAAATCCTGCCATGATTTCCTATCCTACTATCCGATCGCGTGTGTAGCGAATGGGAAGCGCATGGACATAGTCTTCCTCTTCGCAACCTGCTTGTTCTCCTTCGTGGTCTCGCGATTTCACCCTTGCCGGCTCGGCGTCAGTGCGCAGACAATACTCCATCACTTGAGTCAGGGTTGCGCATACTTAGGTCTGAATTTGCGCCGACGGCTCTGGATAGGGGCTCGGCCACGTGATTTTGCTGTGCCACTGCCCAATGCCGAGCCCGGCCGCCTCTTTTTGGACGCTCCACGCGCGGGACCGTCTGTCACTTGCGAACTGCATGCACTGCAGCACAGACATGCACATATATCTACACATTTGACCCCGATGCGAAGCTCACACTCCCTTCTCTCTGCTGCGCTGTCCGATTGATGCGGCCCACCGGTGCGCTCCTCAAAATATCGACACTTCCTCGGGTCGACCGCCCGCTGTCAAACGTGTGCGTTTGATTGTGTTCGTGGTTTGGCTGTGTTGCCTCCCAGGTGTTGTCAAGACATCCCTCCGGCACTAAGGTCTCTGGACGGCTCAGGTTTGTCGCCCGAGGCACTCTTTACTGCTTGTCAAGTTCGGCGCATCATCTATGACGAACACATCTCACAGGCTTAGATGCACGTTTCGATGCGACGACGGGCTCATCCTTGTTCCCCTCGAATGTTCTTCGTGCCATATAGCCACAAGAGAATGACGCAGGCACTCCTCGATGCCTGTCTCTGCTTCACATGGAAGGGTGGCTTCCGAGAGTTGCATGTCGTTCTGGTCTACAAACGGATCATATTAAGGGACCAAAAGCGCTCGCAATGGCAGAAAAAGACTTGTTAGCGCAAATTTGGTACTTCACGGACTACCTGCGACACTTGGTCCTGTCCGGTAAGGCCGTGCGGAATGATCTGTCAACAGAAGTATCCGCTCGGGAATGATACAATACCGATGACGCATCTTGGGATTCTTGCCGCAAGCGTGTTGGTAGGCTACATTCTGGCAACTGCATCGCAAGAATAGTCCCTATAGCACTCGCGCTCTTCGCCACCTTCAATCATTGTCACATGGATCCGAGCTGAAACACAAATGTGGGAGCCTGACTCGTTTCGACTCGTTTCGCATCGCTTTGAATCTACGGCTCTCAATATAAAAAGGTCAGTGAGTACGGCGCAACCCCCCAGGTCTGCGACCTTTCCAACTCCTATCTCAACTTCTATCTCCCAACTTTACGTCCTTTGTTCGCTCAACCATATTCATCTCGTCATGAAGTCTTTCGTCGTTCTCGCTGCCCTTCTTTCGCTTGTGACTGCTGCTCCGGCCGGCAAGCGAGCTCAAGTTTGCAACCTTTCGGGTGAGTCGTACGCGACTATGCCGTAAATGTATTTTCATCCGATTTGTAGCCATCTCGGATTTGTCGATCGTGACTGCATCGGATCCTTCTGGTAAGGATGCAATGCTAACATCCGGTCAACGCTCATACAAACGAGCATATCAGGCACGATCCGTTGGGACCTCTTCGACGCTGATGGATTCGGAATCCAGTCTGGACAGCTGGCATGGGTCAGTTAATTTGTTCCTCCCTTTGATATCGAATGGAACTGTTGTAAACTGGGATTGGAATCAGTTTCAGGAAAGCCAGCCGGACGGTCCCGCCAAGTTCAGGGCGGTCGGTTCGACCAACGGTCCTACGATCTTCACCTTCCAGCGCAGTACCGATTCTGCGGAGGTTGCCCAATCCGGATCCGGGTTCGCTTCTGGAAGTGGCACCGAGGTGAGATCATTGCGAATTCCACGAGTACGTTAGGGCTGATCCATTGTATCATTAGTTCATCGTATCTTGCCCCGCAACCTGCAACCTTGGTGCTGGCTCTGGAGAGCTCGTAGCAGATCAGTGCACGATGGAGGTCAGCGACGGCAGCGGCGCCGGGACCGGTCAATGTGTCTCGTTTAATGGCGGTGCTCAGACGCCAGTAGCGATTGGCACCTGCGACGGATCGACCGCTCAGGTGAGACAGGTGCATGTAGTATGCTCCCGCTCTTACTGATGATCATAATGCAGCAAGTCCTATTTTTCAACAACTCCCCCGAGGTCTCCGACGAGTAGGGAATTAGAGGAGCAAATGATCATATACTAATTACTGTACATTGCTGTACATTAGTATTTTTTGGGAAGAACAACCGCTGGTCGATTGAGAAAGAAGCCGAGCTGGTGCTAGCGCGAAATGCATTCGCGACAAGTTTAGTCGACATCCCTGGTGTACTACTTGCATGCGATGGCCAACTGCTCATCTTCAGATTTACAGTGATCCACCGTTCCTCTGGACAGCACCACTCCCTTGGACACGGGCTAATTTCTCCACATCGCCTGACTCTTTCCTCTTGATTATTTATATATATATACATCCAATGGATCCTCACCATCTCTTGTAGCCCGATGAACAATATGTAGTGTTTTACTCGAATGAAAAATCGGAAACACCATGGTGGCTGTGCTCTTAATCTTTATGTGGGCTTTGAGGTGTTTGTGAGCTACTGTACCACAAATCAGTGTACATATTCAGACTCTACAGTGCTGAAAGCACTATCTGCAACTGAGCTCATGAGGGTACATGTACTAATGGGCCCAATATCGCTCCAGGTTTCTGCATGCTTCGGCGGAGCAGCAGCTAAGGCAGCCATGTGACTGTCGGTTAACCTCCGAAAGGTTTCCCGCGCTCACAGCGGCAATACGGCAAAGTCACAAACGGCGTGGGAAAACCGCTGTCCAGAGGAACGGTAAAGTGGCTGTGAGGGGGTCACCCGTATTATGGCTCTCAGAATTGTTTTAGGATACCTACTACTCCAAAAATATTTGGGTAAATGGGCAGGATGTACAGCTAACTAATGATGCTAATTTAAAGAAGAACGAGAGCCCATGGGAGGAGCAATGCGCAGTACAATTTTTCCTGTCCAAGGGAACGGTGGATCACTGTATATTGCCACGAGTGGCGGTGCGGAAATCGTTCTTTAAAACGCGCCACGACTAGCCGCGGGTTTCACGGTCATCGCTCCGACTGGCCATCGGTGTTGAGTGCATCAGGGGTGCATAGTTGTTGACGCAAGTACAGCCAAAAGTAGAAGCTCTGATCAACCACGGATCATCGCTGTCACGGAACTGGTGCCCATGTTCGGCCGCGCATCCATCGCCCGATGCTGGGGGGCCCAGGCCCTAGAGCCTCTTCAACGATTCAAAGTCCCGTTCACGTCGCTAACTGCTTGAGTGCTCACTCGTTGCAACGACGGGGTGGACGCTCCAGCTGATGTGATCGCCAGTGTATATCTGATGCGCCACGACCTTCCGTTTCTCCTCTCCCAGTCGTTCAGTGCAGTATCAACGCCAAGTCAATGGACATGGATCGGAATGGGTTCCGCCTATCCGTCGAAGGAATTATCGATGCATATGATATTCACCAATACTGCAAAGCAGTATATCCCTGGGCGGAGTCTCCCTCAGTTGACCACCGGAGGTACTAACTTGCAGCAGCCTTCGTGTATAGGGAATAGTATAGGGAATATAATGTTGTGCCGGCCCTTGCTGCGTGTTTGGTGGTACTATGACTTGCTGGTGAGAATAATTGGCATTGCGTTGCTTGAATACCTGAAACCTACACTATAGTGCATCGTTAGTCGCATGTGGCGCCAATTTCCGTATCGTACGTACTTCAAGTATACTACATTTCAATGAGGTTTGACAAAGTTCCCGAAGGGCTGTACATTTAGTTACATGCACACGCACGTCTGGGTCACCATGCATTTACCATGTATCCGCCGTGCGCGTGTCTACTCAAGGCCTCGGTCTGACGCAGAAGCAGCACGAAACGTGGGCGGCTTCCTCGGTATGTTGCCAAGCACACCACGGGCAGAGGTAGCTTCTATCCGTCTACGAACGCAAAGCAGTTTACATGGTTTGGTATATAAGGACTTGTTGGTTGACGGTGTAGCCCCAGGTCTGCGACCCATTGCGCTTTCTTCTCTATCGCCTTCAACAGTACACTCCAATTTCGCTCTAGTGCCCTTTGCTTCCACCTGAACTTTACCTCTCACCACACGTCCAACCACCAACATCATAATGAAGTCCTTCGCTGCTCTCTCTCTCCTTGCCGTTGCCGTCTCTGCCGCACCTACGCAGAAGCGTGCCCAAGTTTGCAACATCTCCTGTGAGTATATCAACTCGCGGAAACTCAACTTGCATGTCACTGAACATTTGGCCCACGTATAGTGGTACCGAGCGTATCGATCACCACCGAGTCTAACGGGAAAATCCGCTGGGATCTCTTCCAGAACTCCGGATTCGGCCTCGACGCCGGCACTCTCGCCTGGGTGAGCAGCGGGACCAAGCTTTCTGATTGTGCACCTCGGAGGCTGATTGTGATATATGAATCGGACAGTTCGAGGAGAATCAGCCCGACGCCCCAGCTTTATTCCGCGCGATCCCGTCCACCAATGGCGCCAACATCTTCAGCTTCCAGCGTTCGACCGATAGCCAGGCCGTTCTGCTGCAGGACAACGGCTTCGTCGCCACCCCAAGCGGTGGAACCGAGGTACGCCGCTATGCTCATACACATCAGATTCGCGACGCAACGACTTACGCTGCGGTGATCCAGTTCATCGTCAACTGCCCGGCGGACTGCAACGTTGACGCCGAGGAGGGCACGGGCATCGCCGGCCAGTGCACGCTCGAGGTCACGGACGGCCAAGGCAACGGCACGAATCAGTGCGTCGCTTTCCTCGGAGGATCGGCCACGCCCGTCGCGGTCGCCACCTGCGATAATTCCGAGGCGCAGCAAGTGTCCTTCTTCAACAATTTCTGATTGGATTGGTTTGTGATGAATGATTCGTGGATGTTTTTTCATTGGGGCGACTTTAACGTACTTTGGCATGTATGGCTGCGTATCATCAGCTATGCGTGCGCTCTTAATTTGATTGTCTTGACGACGAACTGGATGTTGATCACTTAAGAGAGATATTGGGGCTTCGGTAACACCAACACTTCAGGTGATCAGTGCGAGTACAATCCGCGTGGCGGGAACATACGGCGCAACCTCTGCTTAGTCCGAGTTGTCGGGATCAACGCCGTTTACAAGAACATCTGATTTACAACGACGCTGATCATAGTACACTAGTTCTGGTCAGAGATGACGGGTGAATGTGTGCCAGGCTTGGAAGCATTGAGAGCACGCACCAACATTGCGGTTTCATGCTGTCGAAGGCTATGTCGCGTCGTCTCTGGAGTTTTTGGCACAGACATCGGCCATACTGATGTTACAATAGATGAGATTAGAGCTCGAATGCGATAAGTACCTCGACCCTGCGTAGAGGTCGGCCATAAGCATGTGGCACGAATTCGGGCAATTTTCTTGAGCCTGGTAAGTGATGCGAGACAGAATCACGAGCGAGAGGTATTGTGGAGCATTCGAAAGGGGATATCAGCCGTAGACCGACAGAGTATGAACACTGTTATTCCATGTTTTCGAAGTCGACGTTGGCAGTTCCGTCGTGGTTGAAGCTGATAGTGGAGACAGTAGCCGTAGTGCCACTACGGCTACTATATCATCAGCAGTGAGTCATTACTGATGATATAGCGAACGAGGCAAGGACTCGCAGCGAAGGCGGTAGCCTCAACGCGGCGTAGAGGTCGGCCATGAGGGTATTGTCTCTGAGCTTGGTAAGTGACGCGAGATAGACGCGATATATAGATGTCAAGGTGCAGTGATCGGCGGTAAACCCGGTCTTCCCGTGAGTGCCGACGACCAATCCGTCCTGCTCTCGGGCAACGAATTCGTCGCCACGGTCGGCGGTGGAACCGAGGTACGCCGTTATGACCATGCACGACCAGAAATAGGAACGCGACGACTGCCGCTCTGATAATCCAGTTCATCGTCAACTGCCCGGCGGACTGCAAAATCAACGCCGAGGAAGGCCAGGCTGTCGCCAGCCAGTGCACGCGGTTCAGGTCACGGACGGTCAGGGCAACGGCACGAACCAGTGCGTCGCTTTCTTCGGGGGCTCGGTCACGCCCGTCGCGGTCGCCATCTGTGACGGTTCCGTGGCGCAGCAGGTGTCGATCTTCCACAACTGAACGGATCGGTTTGTGATGCGTCAATCAGGGGTACTTTTCGTCGCGGTTACTGTAACGTACTTTGGAGACGTGTGGCTACGCGTCATGGACTCTACGCGCGTGCTTTGAATCTGATTATCTTGACGATGAACTGGAGGTGACGAGCGATGGTGCAACTTCCGTGACGCAAGAACCGCGTTTGTACGCAGATGCATATCGGTTGGGGACCAGCGTATGGAACATGGAACATGGAAACATTACTTTCACCGAATCGGAATTGTAGTTGTTATATGCAGTGCTAATTTCAAGAGCATCTGGAGCGAGACGTGGTGCTGGTCAGGGATTAATCGATAACAAGGGGACGCACGTTAAAGTCGAGCCGTTGAGGGCATGCTGCGCCAGGATTTCAGCGACACGCTGTTCGATGAACGACCGCGGGGGTAAGCGAAAGGCGCCGTACTCTGGAGGATTCGACTGCACGTAACACTCGCGCATGGCAGTTCGGCTTCCCTCGCTCGGCAACCGGCGGAGTGCCGAATATGAACACGGGAATACCTTTTATGGCCTATGGACCAGAGCTGGTGTACTATAAGCTTCGACTGCCATTGACTCGTCAAATGACGGTAGGTTTCTATCATCTCCGGCATGCCAGTCTACCGGGATATGGGCGGCGGCATTCGAATCCCTGATGCTATCCTTGGGTACGTGAGGGAGCGATAAACCCGACTTCGTCGTTTATAGCGCGCTCGCAATCCCTCTCACCGCGCACCCGAGCGGACATGTACAGACGCGAGCATCCGCAGAGACACAAGGATATGTCGTTGATCGTTGTGGTGGCGACCAATATTGAAATCAACAATCGCACCGTGCCGGCAGGTTTTGCATGTGATCTTGCGAACGCGATCTTGCGAAACGGCGAGATGGTTGATAACGTTCTCGCGAGCTAGTCCATTTCGAGAGCAAAAGACACGGTGGTCTTGCAGGAGCGCTTCCGCGAGAGGAAACTGCGCCGTCATCGAATTTCATACGAACCTCCCGTCTTCGTCCTCCGTACTCACGGTGGTCCGAGAGATCGTGTGATCCGCGAGGATCTGTCACTTGGTCTGGAGAAATATGGAGACTTGACCGAGAGGGTAAGAAGATGGTTTCGGCAGCTTGATTGGCTATTCGGAGTCAAGTGGGAACTGCAATAGTCACGTAATAGGGGCCTTTGTTCCAGAAAGACAGGACGAAGAGCAGAACGTCCTTGACCTTGTCCAGCGAGTGTTTTGCATGCAACAGTCCGGCGACGTGAGCGGAGGAGGGGCTATACCGTTAAATGCCGACAATGTCCTGACCGGACAGAAGCATAAGCCGGAGTATACCGCCATAGTCACCACGCTCAAAAGAGGGCAAGTGCGGAGATTTGTCAGGTTTGCACAGCGTGTGCCGCGCTCGGTCGTCTGCGTAACCTGTGAAGGATATGGCGATGCCAAGTTGGGTCTCCTCTTCCAAAGCTTGTTCGAAATCTGCCCAGTCGCACAAAACATGAACTTCGGCGGGTCTGCCTCTGACGTAGCGGGGTGTGTGGGGATGTCTGGCCAAGGCTTTCTAATGATCGATGAAGTGGCGTCAGCAATATAGACTTGTGCAGGGAGCGGCGGGAAGGAGTTGCAGACCGTGTTCCCGAGATAAGAGGAGAAGCGCCGAGAGGCGTCGTATAAGGCCATTGTTTGGCCATTTGTTTGTACCCCGCCCCCACGCTCGTGACCCTCCGAAGCGCCAACGCCCTCGTCTTGCTCCTCCACCCATCCCGCCCTCCCCATCCCCGACCCGAGCTCCAAACCACTCCGCGTTCGAATCCCCTTCCTCGCATTTCACTTGCCACATCGAGTTACCCGCTGCACTTTTTGTTACCCATCGTCCCGCACCCGCCCGCGCTCGCAGTTGCACAGCCTGGCGTCGACCTTTACCGCCCCGGAACACGACGATCTGTATCCCTACATCGGCGGTGACCCAGACATAAGCCATGTCAACACAAGCCCCCATCAACGGCGTCAAGATATCTTGTGCGTTGTGCTAGCCATTTATTACCAAGCGTGGTACTGATGCTCGTACGATCATCGGTCATCCACGTTCGCATCTACCTCCGATTTGCGCCGTTCACCGCTTGCCCCCGAACACACACTCTCAAACTCTCAGCTCTTGACGATCCGTCCAAGGAAATTAAAGTCATCGCCTGCGATGGCAAGACCGGCGAGACCATGGAGCTCCGTTATGCCAACTGCAAGGTCGCAGGCAACGGGTCTTTCGGCGTCGTCTTCCAAGCCAAATGGAAAGACGCACCAAAGGAGGTTGAGGATATTGCGATCAAGAAGGTTCTGCAGGATAAACGCTTCAAGGTGTGTCCCCCTACGCGACGGCTGCGCAGCACCGCCGCGCCTATTGTCCTCAGCTCGAGGCTGACCAATGATCCAAGAACCGAGAGCTTCAAATCATGAGACTCGTCAAACACCGCAACGTCGTCGACTTGCGCGCCTTCTTTTACTCCAATGGGGACAAGGTGCGCCTGGACCCCGACGGCTATCTCTGGCGCGACTCTCACCGACGTTCTATTCGCAGAAAGACGAAGTTTACCTGAACCTCGTCCTCGAATATGTCCCGGAGACCGTCTACCGCGCGAGCCGGCACTACGCCAAGCTCAAGCAGCCAATGCCGATGCTCCAGATCAAGCTGTACATGTACCAGCTCTTCCGGTCGCTCGCGTACATCCACTCGGTCGGCATCTGCCACCGGGACATCAAGCCCCAGAACCTGCTGTTGAATCCGGCCACGGGCATACTCAAGCTCTGTGACTTTGGTTCGGCCAAAATCTTGGTCGCGGGCGAGCCGAACGTCAGCTACATCTGCTCGCGGTACTACCGCGCGCCGGAGCTCATCTTCGGCGCGACAAACTACACCACGAATATCGGTCAGTCCCGATTCGGCCTTGGCCGGTAACCTTATCAGAGCGCGAGTTTAAACTTTCTCCCCTGAACCTTCCAGACATCTGGTCGAGCGGGTGCGTGATGGCGGAGCTGATGCTCGGCCAGCCGCTGTTTCCAGGCGAGAGCGGCATCGACCAGCTGGTGGAGATCATCAAAGTCCTCGGCACCCCCTCGAGGGAGCAGATCAAGACCATGAATCCCAACTACATGGAGCACAAGTTCCCTCAGATCAAGCCCCACCCCTTCTCGAAGGTGAATTTCCGCCCTCTTCGTACGCACGTTGCGCGGCTTCGATCCCGACGCTGACTTTGCTTGCCATTCGCGTTAGGTGTTCCGGCCGCGTACCTCGCCCGAGGCCATCGACCTGGTCTCGAAGCTTCTGGAGTATACACCCGAAGCGCGGAACTCGGCGGTCGAGGCCATGTGCCATCCCTTCTTCGACGAGCTGCGGGTGGAGGGCGCGCGGATGCCCAACGGGAAGGACTTCCCGATTCTGTTCGATTTCTCTCGAGAGGGTGAGTGGTCGTCCGCTTCTCATCCTCTCCGCTTTCTGTCTTGTCAGATCCAGGCACTGATACTCATTTACGCTCACAGAACTGTCCGTTCGCCCGGATCTGATCCCGACTCTGGTCCCCAAGTGGTGCGAGCCGGAGCTGGCCTCGCGGGGCATCACGCTGCACAACTTCCAGCCGATACCGCTCGAGCAGATGCGGATCACCCTCGATTGAGAGAGAGTGCTTCGTCCCGCCGGTCTTGCGTGTGCCCGGGCTACCTATACACCGTTCCCGGTACACCCGTCGTCGTCTTGTGTCCTGCACGCGCTTTTCGTCCTTCGTCGTCCCTCGATAACCATCGCCTGGAGTTGAACTTTGGCGTGGCTGTCATATCACCCTCTCCCCTGCTCTCCGGTCATGCCCAATTCACACTCGTGTGCGCCTTCGCTCGTCGAGTGGAACGCAAGGCCCCTCCCTCCTCCACTCACCCACTCACTCTTTCTCTCTACGCCAAATCGCATGCAGTGTATTGTTTTAGGTCTCGCGTAATGCCGTGTGACGTGGCTGGCGTCGTTATCCCTTCCCCGCTCCTCGAGAGTTCCCTGTTTATATCAGTATGTTGGAGCCGGAGCCGTTGTTGTAGCAGTGCGCGACGGCGCGCGTGGATGCATAACGAAGAAATGAAAACGTGTATTTTGTCTTGCGTCCTGGTTGGACTGATATTAGTCCAGTGGCAATGATTATCAGTAGGCTTCCTTATTGGTCGACACCGAGCTCTTGAGAACTCATGATCGCCCTGCGCGGCGCGGACTTCTTTATCTTGGTTATTCACCTGCATCCATGTTCTACACTGCGCCTACTGCCATTCTACGTGCCGCATGGATACTCTCGATGGAGGATTTGTCTGCAAGCTTATCTTCAATTTGGAAACGTCGAATAGCCGCACGGCATAATCTACATTCCCATGGATCGGACATATCTGGTCGAGGGCGATGTCCTTCGATCGCAAGAGGCGCCGAAGGGCGGAGGCCAACGGCATTAAGGAGAATCGATCCCCGAACTAAACGTCAAATCTATCGCTCGCGCCGTCGTGGACCATGGACCTTCCTAGAGTTTCATTCTTGATACACGCTGCATCTTCATGGTATGCCGGGGCACTCGAGATTCGGCGGCAAATTCGTCCCAAGCGTTTGGAACAGCTTCCTCGGGCGCCCATTTGCATCTCCCGCTATGACTGGAATGGTCGAAGGAGATAGTAAGTATATAGCACCTACGGCATCGCTATCTCTGACCCGTGTAACCGGGCGAGCAATTCTTGGGGTCCGAAGCGTCTCGAGCGCCGCGCGCGGTATAAAACCCGTTCCATGCCTCGCCCATGGCCTCAACCACCGATCTCACCGACACCCCCTCTCGAGATCTCCGTTACTAATGCCACAAGTCACCGTTCCGCAACGATACGTCCTCCACGCTGAACGTGGCGTGGACGCACGGGACCCCGTTGGCTTGGCGAAACGCGCTGCAGCCTGGCGAGTCGTGGACGCACGAGTCCGGGTCCTGGACTTTTCACCTTCGAGATCCGCCAAGACGTGGGCGAGTGCTCGCGGTTCTCCTAGCAAAGTAACCCTCGACGCGGCTTGCAGCATGGGCGTCGCGTTCGCGGCCGGGACGGCGAGCGTCGTGACCGGCACACGCTCGGTGCCCTGGGTGCGCTTCGCGGTTGGGGCGGAGTGGCCCCAGCAGCCACCATACCCGTTGCGAGATCGTTGATGCAAGTCGCCCACCAGCGTGAGCCCCTCTTGTCCTATACTACTTTTTTGTATATCCTGATGGGCAAGGGGGGGTGACTTGTAGACGGTGCCAAATGGGGCGAACATGCGCCCGGCCTCGTGCACCGCGCGCACTGGGTTGGGATCGCTTTTGCTCCCAAGACGTTCGTCATACGCGAGACCGATGGCAATTACGGTTTCGAGGAGAGCGGATAAGGGGGTCGATTTCGTGTATACGGCTCCTTGAGTGAAAAGTCGATTATATTGCCGGTTTTTACCGAGATGTCCGGATATCTCCCTGCGCTATTAGGGAGATATCCGGACGTTTCGTTGTACGCGACGCTAAGGAGTCGAACGACCTACAATCAATCCGATGGTAGGATCCCTACATAGCGGATGTGTAGGGAGTACTGACTGTCTATGCTACGTACGGAGCGCTCGGCGCTGGACCGTCGAAATATTTACTATACCTGCTAGCCTTGATCGCGGCTTAGCATCTCCGCTGCAGCTCGAGCGTGACCATAACCCAATGTCCAGGCTCCAAGTACCGCGAGAATTTAGGGCGTTGCAAGAAGCGAGGACGCTGGCATCAGATGTGCTGTGTTTTATGCGCCTCGACGTCGTCCGACATTCGTCGCACATAACTCTCGCCCGAGTGGTCGTTTGGGCGAGCCGAGTTTCGACGCTTGGATCAGCTGCGAACTTGAGCGCTGGGCCTGGTTCTTCGGAAACAAAAAAACTCTCCGTCGGCGCGTCATCCGCGCGCATATGCATTCGCGATACCGTGACGGGCGGGACCCAACGAACCCAATGCTCGCGCAAGTGTTTCAGCATATCCAGGTCCTCGCCATCATCGACATCGCCCGGACGCCCTGTCTATCGATGTCTGCAGCTCGGAAGACTGAACAGCTCCAAGGCGCTCGAAGGACTTCTGGAATGTGAATCGGAACGCGCCAACTATAGACGTCTTTCAAAGCTGCACTCGAACTCCCCGATTTGGGACAGTTCAACCAGCCCCTTCCATGTCTGTCGTCCCGATAGCCGGACCGCATACAAAGGACGCCGCCCACGAGGTCCCCTTTTTCACTGCCCCTACCCCTGCCCGCCTCGACCTCGAGAGTCGAGCAGCCCCGGCGCTGGCCTTGCCCAAGTGTCTCTTCCGTTGTGCCAGTGATGGCGCCATTCCACGTCCCTCAGTTTTTCGATCCTCGTGCAATCATCAATAATGCTACGTCGGCTGTGCAGTCTGCTGTGATCAGCGTAGCTGCGGGCAAAGCTGATAGTCCTATGTACGAGAAAACCGGTAGGTGTTACTTAGTCGAATGTTTTACAGTTGTCGACGGCGGACTGACGATATAACCGTGACGGTATATCAGGTGCCGTGGTCGCACAAGCCGCGGTCCCACTCTACCTCGTAGATGCGCCCGGACATTTGGGTAGGCTCTCTCGGCGTGTCAGGCATGGACTGTGCTTACCCGCTTGACCTGGCGGACAGAAAAAGGGTTTGAAGGCGTCGCAAAGGCAGGTGGGCGGGCGATGATCGAAATCCAGCTCGTCGCGCGCAAACTGCCTTCGCTCCCGAAGTTTAAGAAACCCTCGCTACCGAAGGTCAAGGCGCCGTCGTTGCCCCAAGTCCATTTTCCTTCGCCGCCGAAGATCAAGCTGCCGTCCCCGCCCAAGATCGAGCTCCCTTCCTTCCCCAAGGTGCACATGCCTCACATCCAGATCCCGAAGATCCATCTTCCCTCCCTCCCGCACGTCAAGCTGCCTACTATCCATGCGAAGGCATGGCTCGCCGGCGCGAGTAAGTCCGATCTCAACTTTCCGCGCTCTCGACCGTTGAAACTGTGAGGATCGTCCTAATGAAGAAGGCTCCATCCTTGCCACCGGAGCGAAGATCGCCGACTGGACGGCGAAGAACAAGACCGCGATAGCCGGCGTCATCGGTGGCACCGTCACCGCCGCGATCGGGCTTCCGCTGCTGATCGTGGGCGGTCTCCACGTCGTAGGATTCACGGCGGGAGGCGTCGCTGCAGGCAAGTTGGTCGGGTTGGCAAAAAATTCCCGCGTAGAGCTGTCGCCGAACGTCTTTTTTTTTTGGTTACGACGGACTCTAGGATCGCTGGCAGCCGCGATTCAAGGTACCATGGGAGGCCTCGTCGCCGCCGGTTCGCCGTTTGCCATCGCGCAGTGGATCGGGGCGGTTGGCGTTGGGGCGGTTTTCGGGCCGGTCGCGGGCGCGGTTCTCGTCGGCGGTGTCCTGGTCGGCGGTATCGTGTTGTTGAAAAAGTATTTCTTCTGATGAATTCCGGGTTGGGGGCAAGATCAGTCTGTCCACGAACGCTCTGATATCCCATCGTCAAATCCAATGTACAGTACGGTTCGTGTGGTTTACTTGCAAGCCTTCGTGAGAGGCGCTCGGGTCCGTTATTGGTTGTACTTGCGTTAATCTCCTTTCGGAAGACTTCATAGCATGGATCGCACCGGCCTTTACAGCGTTGCATTTATAGCGGGACGATATTGCGTCATCGGGATATCGATTGCTTCCCGAACGAACAGCCTTGTGCTGTCAGTAAGTCGCGAGGCACCTACTAGTGTGTGCGGATTCATATATATATATGCGCATGGACCTCACGTCCTATTAAGGTTCCCTCCCGCCTCCCTCAAGGTTACCCCAGTTCGACGACTTTGGCGAGTTTATACGAGATTTTGATGGCTCCATATCCGGAAATCAATCAGAGTGCTAGCTCGCTCGGGCTCGTGCAATGGGTGTTCGACGTTTCCGAGAAAAATACACTACTCCTCGTCCTTCCCGGATATATACCGTCGATTCCAACTGACTCTTCTGTCATCGGGTCCATCAGTGAGCTTCTCGAGGATCGCGTCCACTAGTAGGTATGAGACTCGGGGACTAAAAATCGGTTTCTGTAGAACGGCTTGTCAGCAAGTATTGGCACATCGTCGTTTCGACCATCAGTCCGTATATCTTGACCATAGGTGAGCATTCGATCGCGTCCACCTCCGAGCGCAGAAGAGTATCAACGCACCCGTAGGACAGATCCTCGTCAACTATTGGCGCGTAGCTGTGGAGACCATAAGCCCGTATATCGTGACGATAAGTGAGTAATCGATCGCGGTTTTTCTTCCTGTGGGAAGAGTCACTCTCACAGTTGGGTGCGCAGAGAAGCATGTCATCCAGTACTGGCGCGCGGCGGCCGCTTGGTGCGCGGAACACCCCGCGCTTGTTGCAGCCTTGGTCGTCGCCCTCGGAGTCGGCGTCCTCTTCCTCGTGGCTCAGCCATTGATACTAGCCATCCTGTCGGGCGTCGGGTTCGGGGTCCAGGGCGTCGTTGCAGGTGCGTTTTTACCACATGCAAGGCTCGCAATGCGGGTCCCTGTTGAACCCTGACGCTCACTTGTATGTTACCGTACGAACAGGTTCATGCGCTGCGGCTTATCACAGCGCGGTACTGGGTGGAGTGATCGTCGAAGGCTCGGCATTTTCGATTTTGCAATCCACGGCAGCCTTGGGGGCAGTCCCTTGGCCGATCTCGTTGGGTTTTGCCATCGTAGGGGTGGCCCTCGTGGCAGGCGCTATCAAGCTTTCGGGCGTGTTTTAGTTCATTGATGGCCGCTCGTAGTTTCCAGTCGCGTCCATTGGTGGGAGGTAGATATGCGCAGCAGCCTCGCGACATGTCCTTGCAATTCCCTACTATGTAGTAGGGACGATCTGGCTTTCGTCGTCGATCTGTTGCTTTAGATTTCCGGTTTGGTCATTGGATGAGGACGATTTGGGCAGCAGCTGCGCGGGCCCCTCTTGGTTCATCTCGCAGGTGAGCGAGTATCCCAGATGAGTGAGCCTCGAGCGTGGTGCCTGTGGCAAGACGGTGGGGAGACATCACGCCGTGTCTGCCCTCGATAAGCCCACAGGTGAAGTCAGAGCCAGAAAACATCACGAATGGATTGTGTCCCTCCACCGACCATCTGAGGAGCTTAAGCTAGAGTTCAGCACTTTGGTGGACCGTTATGGGCAAAGCAAAGGTATCGGTGATCGTCGAATCCGGAAACAAAGACACAATATCTCACGCGCGAGTCTCTTGTACTTCACGCACTTCTGTCTTCGACAACGGCCCACTCAAGCTCCTTGCTCTCATCTGGCTCTCGCTCGCTGGCCGGAGGATCGAAACAATGGACAGCTGTTGAAAACGCATCGTGTCGGGCAGTCGCCCCACGTTTAGACTCCTCTCCCGAAACTTTAACGCATGCATCGGCGTAGTAAGCTTCCACGAAGCGGCCGTTCCGACTGCAGTAGCAACTGGGATTCACCGGCAAATACACGATTACAGGACAATTATGGATATATTACAATTGACTGCGTACATACAACGGATTGGACCGGCTTTACTAAATTACGTTGCAAGGGGCAAGCACTCGTACTGAGATCGCCGCCTTCTGGTCGTCTAAAGCGCCTCCCACCGCTGCTTTCCAATCGCAATCAACCGATTGAACAACTCGTCCCTTTTGTCGATGGCCGTCATCACGAACGTCCTCCCTGCCCCGTCCACGATCTCCAACCCATCCACGATCTGCATTCCCAGCGCATACCCGACGATCAACCGTCCCTTGAACCCGAGCCCCCCGACCTTCCTCAGCTCCCTAATGTCGTCCAAGCCCACCGTCCAGACAGGGTTCACCTCCTTCCCCTTCCCATCGCGCTCCGCGGGGTCGCGCGACGTGAACGAGATACACGGCGTCGACGCGCGCGTCGAGATCACCGCGAACCCCTTCTTGCCGTTGTACCGCGCGCCGAAGATCGTCGGGCCGTCTTCGGAGCGCTCGCCAGGTTTAGGCAACACGCCGAGACGCCGTTTCGCGCTCTGGTCGCCGACCTTGGCCTTGACCGCGTCCGTGCCGAGCACGGTGCTCACGCCCGCCTTCGCCGTGCCCTTGAAGAACTTCGTGATCCTGTGTCGCTTCTTCGTCGGCGCTTTATCTTTGCCCCGTGTTTCGTCGTGGTGGTCGCCGGCGAGCGTTTCCTCGTCGCTGTGCAGCTCCTCGCGGAAGCGCGAGCCGTTCGGGCCGGCGTCCGGGTCCGAGTCGCGGTCGGCAAAGTCGTACTGGGTCGCGTCGACGTCTTGCTGGGAGACGTCGAGCGGGATGTCGTCCGCGTCGACGGGGCTCGGCAGGCGGGACGGCAGGCCCTGGTCGGGGTCCTGCTTCGGCGGCGGTGGCAACGGCGTCCTGTTCGCTTCGCCGATACGGAGGAGCGTGAGCGCCAGCTGCGCGTTCGTCGGGACGCCCTTCAACAACGTGCTGAGGGCATGTTTAATACTGTGATGCTAGACGCGACGGAGAACGATTGAGCGATGACACGTACTTCTTGGGTTGGAGATACCATTGCCAGTTTGGTACCTTCTCGGTGAGCCAGACGGCTCCACGCATCAGGAGCGGTTGGCCAAAGAAGACGATGCCGAAGATGAAGGTCGAGCCTTTGTACAGGAGAACCTCGTTCACGTAGAGCGAGGCGAGCAGCAAAGGGGCGACGATCATGCCGAGTTTAAAGCGGATTATGGACGAAAACGGTGGCGTAGGCGACAATGCGCTGCAATTTTCATGTCAACGAATGCCCTCCCTCACCGTTGATGACGGTCGAGTACACTCACTTGCCAAACATCTCCCAAGCGTCACAAGCGTCGTTCACCGCCCTCATCACCGGCCTCGCCTGGCTCCACAACGCGTTCTGAACCGGCTCCTTCGTCGCGTTATTTTCTGCCTTCGCCTTCTTTCCGCTCGCGACCTCCTTCGCATGGCCCGCCTCCATCACGATGCTCGTCGGATCCGGCACGACGCTCTTATCGCCCTCCTGCTCCGCCTGCTTCTCTTCCTCGGGTCCTTTACCCACCGCCGTCCCTACCGCCAAACTCGCCATACCGGACACAAAGTCCGACGCCTCGTTCTCGACCGCCTCGCCCTTGTACGCCTCGGGCGCGCCGGTGAGTGAGTCCTTCGAGTGCAGCTGGCCGGCAGGGGGTTTCTGCAGTCCGCCGTGCGTGGCAGAGACGGCGGCTAAGGGGGCTGGTGGGAATAGGAAGGTGCGAGAGGGTGGGAAGACGATGAGGACGAGTATGAGGGTGAAAAGAGCCGGCATGAGGACGTTTAGGGCCCATGCGACGTAGTAGCCCACGAGCCAGGCGATCGTGCGGTTGCGCTCGTTCCAGGATTGCAGGCGAGCGACGTGTTTGGCGAATGCGGCGAAACCGACGATCTGGAAAAAAAGAGACGTATTATATAAAGCGTATACGCGATAATGCAAAAGGGTAGTACGGACGATGGTCATGTAAAGGCGCTCGAAGGTAGCGCGCAGCTTCTCTGGTGAGAACTCTTCGTCCTCTGCGTAATTGAGGTCCAGATCGCCCGGTAGGGGTCCCTCGACCGTCCTGACGTGATGGATCTGTTGCTTGTGTCCTTCGAGATAAGCGACGCAGTTCGCTAGGTGGCTGATGTCAAGAACTTGCCTTGTTGAACCTCCTCAACAGCACCCAGAGATCGTCGTTTGACAGCCCCTTCACGATCGGAGACGGGACCGAGTCCGGGTGCTCGTTCCACCCGATGTCCTCCACCTCCTTCGGAAGTCCGTCTCGCGCCTCGTCGCGTGCCGCTCGGTCGACATGCATATGCTCCGGCGGCTTGGTGGTGTCGATGAGCGTCTCCTCCTTCGCTGCCGAAGCCTCGGGCACGGCGCTTTCTAAGATGCCGTTCACATCAATGGAGGGCAAGCTAGACGTGATTCCTTCGGAGGGTGTGGGTACGGTGGGGTCGCCGGAGGGTGCAGGAGGGTTGTGTAGATGTTCGAGGAAGGGTTCGGGTTTGGCCTGCAGCTGCGGGCCCGTCGGGGCAGACATGGTGATCGTATGCGTACACTTCTATACGAGGGCGCGTCGGGCAGAGAGAAAAAGGTATAATCGAGTGCGTCGACGGGTCAGTTGAAAAGGCGGAGGCGCCAAGGTGACGTCAAGCGAGACATGATGCGTGGTTTGGAGAGCCTGTCAGAGGCGCTCCGCCGGCTGCGTCCTTCCGCTGATGCTTCCATATGTCGGAGATGAGCGCCGCTGTCCGTGATTGTGGAGGTGGATATGGCCATGGATGCTTGCGCGACGTGAGTCAGAGTCAGAGCGCGGCGAGGCAGTCGTTCGGACTAGTGTACCGTCAAAAAGTCAGATGTTATTAACTCGTGTTTAGTTACTTGGTTATTTACATGTAACTTACATGCGAGGCATGCCATAGGTCAATCTTCATGTTATAAAAGTAAATAATTCATCGCCACTCGCGTACCCTTGAAGCTTGTGTATGGCCGTTGATGTAAATGTGATGAGCGGTAATGTTGTATTCCCACGAATACAACCTCTTGACACGTCGACATCGTGGCACCCACTCTTGATATGGCTTCTACTCCCACTAGAGATTACGAGCGCATTCAACTGGATCCCGAAAAAGTCACGGACTTTCTCAAAATACTTCGAGAGCTGGAGCATTTGCTCCGCAATCTACCTGCTTCGCTTCCACTAGTGGAGGATCCGAACAGTCAAAATATGCTGTTTTTGTGAATTTCGCGCTAGATGTCGAACTTTTCGCACTGGAAACCGACGACGACATCGATCTATCGTCGGCACTCATCCGGGATGTGCTTTCATTGAGCCCGGTCAATGTGTCTCATGCCGTGGACACAAAACGGGGCCCAGATGATGTTTGCGACGAGAACTGGGACTGGTAGACTCATGTACACGACACAATCTGACGTGTTCCGCCTCGAAAACAGCGCGCGGAGTTTATTACATTGATTACAGTATTTACGCTTGTAAATAAACCCCCTGGCGCGCCACTAGTTACTTACAAATGTGATTAAGTCAGCGGGAATTATTGACGGTACGCTAGTTCGGACATCGCCGGCGGTGGCGGCGACTCCCACTTGGCTTTGGTTCTGCACCGACGTTCGACTTAGTTTGCTTCGTCCCTGCACATCACCATGGCCTACCTGACTGGGTCTACACGATTACAGAACGTTTATGTATATTTCACAATTGACTGCGTAGATACCACGGATGAAACTGGTTTACTCAATTACGTCGCAAGAGGTGCAAGCACTCGTACTGGCCTTCTGGACATTTAAAGCGCCTCCCACCGCTGCTTTCCGATCGCAATCAACCGATTGAACAACTCGTCCCTCTTGTCGATGGCCGTCATTACAAACCTCCTCCCGGCCCCGTCCACGATCTCCAGCCCATCCACAATCTGCATTCCCAGAGCGTGACCAACGACCAACCGTCCCTTGAATCCGAGCCCCCCGATCTTCCTCAGCTCGCTGATATCGTCCAATCCCACCGTCCAGACAGGGTTCACCTCCTTCCCCTTCTCCTCACGCTCCACAGGGTCGTGCGGCGTAAACGAGATACACGGCGTCGACGCGCGCGTCGAGATCACCGCGAACCCCTTCTTGCCGTTGTACCGCGCGCCGAAGATCGTCGGGCCATCTTCGGAGCGCTCGCCTGTTTTAGGTAGCACGCCCAGGCGTCGCTTCGCGCTCTGGCCGCCGACCTTGGCCTTGATCGCGTCCGTGCCGATCACGGCGCTCACGCCCGCCTTCGCCGTGCCCTTGAAGAACTTGGCGATCCTATGCCGCTTCTTTCCCGGCTCCTTCTTGTCCTTGTCGTCGTCGTCGTGGCGTCTCGCGAGCGTCTCCTCGTCGTACTGCGTTGCGTCGACGTCCCGGTGGGAGACGTCGAGCGGGATGTCGTCCGCGTCGACCGGGCTCGGCGGGCGGGACGGCAGGCCCTGATCTGGGTCCTGCTTCGGCGGGGGCGGCAGCGGCGTCTTGTTCGCTTCGCCGATGCGGAGGAGCGTAAGGGCCAGCTGCGCATTCGTGGGGATCCCCTTCAACAGCGTACTAAAGGCGTGTTTAATACTGTGATGCTACAGGGGACAGAGAAGATGGAGCAATCGCACGTACTTCTTGGGTTGGAGATACCATTGCCAGTTTGGTACCTTCTCGGTAAGCCAGAGCGCACCGCGCATGAGGAGCGGCTGGCCGAAGATGACGATTCCCAAGACGAAGGTCGAGCCGTTGTACAGGATGACCTCATTCATGTAGAGCGAGGCGAGCAGCAGAGGAGCGATGATCATACCGAGCTTAAATCGGATCACCGACGAAAAGGGCGGTGTCGGAGACAACGCACTTCCCATAAGCTTATCAGTGACTGCGTTTGCAGGAATGAATCGCGATGGCAAGGAACTCACTTGCCGAACGTTTCCCAAACGTCGCACGCGTCGTCCAGCGCCCTCATCACCGGTCGCGCCTGTGCCCACAGCGCATCCTGAACGGGCTCCTTCGTCGCGTTATTGTTCCCCTTCGCCTTCTTCCCGCTTGCCACTTCTTTCGCATGGCCCGCATCCATCGCGACGCTGGTGGGGTCCGGCACGACGCTCGTATCGCCCTCCTGCTCCGCCTGCTTCTCTTCCTCCGGACCCTTACCCACAGCCGTCCCTACGGCGAGACTGGCAAAGCCCGACACAAAGTCCGACGCCTCGTTCTCGAGCGCCTCGCCCTTGTACGCCTCCGGCGCGCCCGTGAGCGTGTCTTTCGAATGAAGCTGGCCGGCCGGGGGTTTTTGGAGCCCGCCGTGCGCGGCGGAAATCGAGGCTAACGGAGCCGGCGGGAACAAGAAGGACCGGGAGGGAGGGAAGGCGACGAGGACAAGTATGAGGGTGAATGTGACGGGCATGAGGAGGTTGAGGGACCAGGCGACATAGTACCCCACGAGCCAAGCGATAGTGCGGTTGCGCTCGTTCCAAGATCGCAGCCGGGCAACGTGCTTGGCGATTGCGGCGAAGCCTACGATCTGGAGAACGACGTTCGTTTGCGGGTAATAAATCGTGCAGAGTAAGGGACTCACGACTATCATATAGAAGCGCTCGAACGTCGCGCGCAATTTCTCGGGGGAGAATTCTTCGTCTTCTGCGTAGTTGAGGTCCAGATCGCTAGGGAGGGGCTTCTCCACTGCCCTGACGTGATAAAGCCGTTGCTTGGGTCCATTGAGGTAAGCAACGCCGTCGATTAGGACCAGCGTCGAGTGCAACTTGCCTTGTTGAACCTCCGCAAGAGCATCCAGAGATCATCGTTGGACAGTCCCTTCGCGATCGGAGACGGCATCGAGTCTGGGTGATCGTTCCACCCAATATCCTCCACCTCCTTCGGCAGTCCGCCCCTTGCCTCATCGCGCAGCCCCCGGTCGATTTCCATGTGCTCGGGCGGTTTGGTGGTGTCGATGACGGTCTCCTCCTTCGCTGCCGACGCCTCGGGTACAACACTGTCCAGTACGCCGTTCACATCCACGGAGGGTAGATGGGAGCTTATACCTTCGGACGGAGTGGGAACGGTAGGGTCTCCGGAGGGCGCACAGGGATTGTGTAGGTGTTCGAGAAACGGTTCGGGTTTGGCCTGCAATTGGGGGCCCGTTGAATGAGACATGGTGGTGGTACGTACGCCTGGATCCTAGACTCGTTATTCGTAGTTGAAGGGGAACAGTTGGAGTCTCGATTGCAGGCAATAATATCTGGCACACTCGAAAAGGCGGGGGCGACAGTGTGACGTCAAGCGGGACATGATGGAGGCGTTGAAGAGCCTGTTAGAGGCGCTCTGCCCTCGGCCTGCGTCAGAAAGCATAACTGAAACGAGGACCTGCGTCCGCGATTGTGGAAGTGAGGACGCCCCTGGATACCTGCGCAATGGTGTGGACGATGAGAGGAGCACAACGAGAACGCGAATGCGATGGCGCTTGTAGCGGTTCGGACATCGCCGGCGCTGGCGACTTGGGGAGTCCGAGATCGACTTGCTCTGGTTCTGCACCACCGTCCAACCTAGCTCGCCTCGTACTCCTCAGATACTGTCATGGCGCGATTGCTTTTGCTCGAACGCGGGCTACGAAAATTGAAGAATTATGCACGACCGAATCTCGTCATCGCAGCGGACCGGCGAGCACACGACCCGGGACGCAGCAACACGTTCAACAGTCCATGTTGGTAGCGCACGGCGGATTAAGCAAACGCGACCCTGTCCAGTCTAGCCTCAGGGGACGACGTCCATATGTATGTACTGCTCCGCGTGCGCTGGATTACCTCGCACATCGATCTAATTGTTGCGAACCCGTACTAGTCCGACATGTTGTTGATCAGCCCTTCCGGAACCTCCCCCGCGCGGTCGTATGCAGAAGTTCGAGGATGCAGTTCGAGCCGCCGACCATCCTGCACGGACAGGCCACGCCCTCTTCGCGGCGGGCTCGGGAAGTCCTATTTGGTCTTAGCCTCGATCTGGAGCGCCCACAGCGCCGTCTGCTCCGCCAACACCTTCAGATACATATGTAACGCTCAGCGGATTTCGCCTTCGAGTCGACGGAACGCGATCCGATCACGTAGCTGACTGCGAAGGCCTAGGTGCGCGGTTCTTCCTCAATCGCATTTTCATTGACTCAATGGTTCTCTCTGGGCCCCACCCAATCTACGCTTTTGAACCTTGTTTACAAAGATAGATCTGGCGCGGGTACGGCGAAGGCTGCCCCTATCGTTACCCAAGAAGGCTGAACGGACGGCAAAACGACCGCCCCATGGCTGAATGCAGAAGCTCACGCACTGTCGTACCGCGTCCACTCGATTCTCACCGGGCTCGGTTGCTCAGCCCGGTGAAACGTCCAGCGCAGTCGAAGGCCTTGTGATGCTGAGAGAGCTGCGCGACGGATATACGGACGGCGCTATTTGCAGTCTAAATCGGGGGACCCGACGCTGTGGCATGCCAGCCCCGTTGACCCTACCGACTCGTCCTCTCCACGACCAGGATATACCACACCACAGCGAATTCGGATCTGGCTTTGCTGTAGCGACGCTGTGCGGTTTCACGGCATCTGGGGGAGTCGGCCTCCGCCGCGGCGCTTTCCGCCCGTTGCTCCCGCTCACGTGATGGATAGGTTGAGGGCCCTTCCGCCTTCGACCGCTTCGACGTGGATGCCATCACCCGTTTGCGTCACCTCGCCGAAGGTTCGCGAAATTTATGTGGAACACCCGTCACGAACCGTCACGCTTACCGCTGTCACACGTCACGAGATTTTTCGAGCCCTGATCTGGACTGATCGTCGTCAATTATGGGACGGACCCCTGCTGCGCACGCGGTTGCTGCTCTGGCGGGATGTTGGAGCCGCTCAGACGGGAATGCTACTTATCGCAGGGGCGGACGCGTGCGCGTCATGATAATAGGGCGTGCTTGTCACGCGGAGCCTATTATGCCTGCTGCGAGGCCTGCTTGAGGTGAAGCCTTTGTGTACCTCGTCGGATCGTACGGGGTTGCCGTTCGCGGAGAGTTGCGAAGGAGACAGCTTCTAGCCTCTCGCGTCGGCGGCGAAGCGGTATCGTCCTCTCCTGACCGTTTCTTGCTCTACATTGCCTTCCCTGGGTACGTCCCCGTCAACCGCCTCGCTTGGTTCACTTGCCCTGAATTTTTTTTCGACGGCTGACTCGCCTCCCCAGCAGAGCGCTACGTGTTCGCGACGACGCGACGGTCATGACGCGACCGCTGCATTTCACGGGTCTGCGGGCTGGGAAAAATGAGCCGATAAGCGTCGTGACGGGGAGTGTGACAGTTGCCATATGGGGACGGGTGCGATGCGCCGAGGCACGAATTCAAAAGCCGATCGCGTGTCTAAAGATGCCTCGCTTCTCGCGAACTCCCTCGTCTTTCCTTTCACCCCAACCGTCTCCCTCGCGCCCACACACCCCTCGCTCCCCGTCCCTCCCGCCACTCCCGACGACGACGAACGACGACTGTCCCTCCCCACGAAATAATCGCTATCACCGTCGCTGGCCGAACTAACCTCTGACGACATCGCTACATTATTAATGCAAGGCCTGCCGCTCTAAACTTCTCCAATGGACGCCGCACCCTCCACTTCCGCTACCTTCGCGGACGCGTCCCGCCAGTCGCAGGCTGTACATCATCAATACGGTACTAGAACGCGTCAGAATTCTATAATGCGGCCATCCGCTCGTCTACGCCAATCGCCCGATCTGCCGTCGACCACCACCACCCCGGCGCTCAGACGCATAAAACCACTCATGATCTCAAAGTCAAATAATGTCCCCGCGGTCTCATCGCCGTCATCAAACGACTCGAATGCGCTCACGTTTCCCCCGCCGCATGTCGTATTGCATCCCGACGACGCGTCAAATAAGGTCTTCTTAGCGATCGGCCGTTCTCTGCTCGCGGTGGTCAGTCCTGTCAATTATATCTCGGGCGCCTATCACCCATACTCTACCTTATAGAACAATAAGGCCGTTACCATCAAAGAACTCGCCGAAATGACCCTCAAGAACGGACTGCATTGCCAGAAGTGCGTGCATATATCACCTAACCCTATCTTAGGAGCTTACCCGTCCTTCCTGTATGCAGCGTGTCCGCCGCGTCCCAGGCTATCACTACCTTCATCCGCGCGCACATGCATCGATGTGATGTCGAGCAAGATCATCCCTTGCTCCTCCGCCACGTGCTGTCGGGCACACCCTCGGACGACGACCTCCTCCCCGCCCTCCACTCGCGCTCGGGCGGCGCGCACTGCAATCCGCCCACCGGCGACAACCGGCTCACCAACTTTCGCAAGGGCACCATGGTTTGGTACCTCAGCAAGGCCGCCGGCGCGCCGTGCCCCTTCAGCCGCGCCGGGATCAGGCTGTGCGACTACGGCGAGAACGGGAAGGTGGGGTATATGCCGACGACGGACAGGGAGAAGAAGAGGGAGAGGGACCGTGCTAGGCGGGCGGCGACCGGGGCTGAAGAGGAAGAGGCTACCAGAGCG